GAACCATGTTCCCTGTGCTTTGCCAAGCTTGTTTCAAGTAGGTGCTTTAGACCACTGAGCCATCTCTCCAGCCCCCCCCCAGGCTTACTTTAGATCATTGAACACATTCCTCTGTGGCTCCATAATCTTGATCAGATAATTTGGAGCACAACTGAGTTACATGTTACTATAGTACAGGTTCTCCTATGTCCCGAGTCTTCACTGATCTTGAAAGGCTAAGGCCAAAATGTTGGCTAACCATGCAGCCCTTCCTTTTCTCCAATTTTTTTTTTAATTTTTTTTTTTTTTGGTGGAACCGGGGATTGAACTCAGGCCCTTGCGTTTGCCAGGGAAGCACTTATTCCACTGAGCCATCTCCCGGCCCCTCTTTTCTCCAATTTTGATCTGCTAACTTAGGTTGTTAACCTTCCAGAAGAGAAGCTAATTATTAACCTGCAATATATGCAGTTTGGTTTACCCTATCTGAGGGACACAATTTTGTATAAATGGCCAAAGAGTACTTTTTCACACACGTGGCTTTCACACGATTTTAGTCCAGTTTTCTTGTTTAAGGCATGATCTAGAGCCTGCACATCTGGAGGTCTGATGATTTTTCTGCACTTACTACCTTCTTCCTCTAAATTCACTTCCTACAGTCTGACTTCTGTAACAGAAGCAGCACATTACAAAGCCGATCTATTAATTATTTAACATTTGTGAATTTTTAAATACATGTTAATTAGCCATGTGAGGAAAAGTGGAGAATTTATATCCAGTATAAACTTTATGAAAAAAGCTCCACCCGGGGCTGGGGAGATAGCTCAGTAGAATAAGCACTTGTCTGGCAAGCACAAGGGCCTGAGTTCAATGCCGGGTTCCGCAAAAAAGAAAATAAGCTCTACCTAATATTTAGCAGCATGGCTAGAATAGCTACTTTCAAAACAGTGAAAGTTACATGGGGTTTTCTTTTACATGGGGTTTGTTTGTTTGTTTTTTGAGACAGGGTCTTGCTACAAGTTCAGATTGGCTTAAAATTTGCAGAGATCCTCCTTCCTTGGATTCTTGAATGCTGGGATTACAGGTGTGCAGCACCACACCCAGTTCCATGAGGTTTCTTAAAACTATTTGCAAGTATTTGACAAACAGTGAACATGCAAGTCACTTTTAAGTACAGGCTGAATGTTCCTTAACCAGCATTCTTTT